ATGGAATTATTGGATGGATGGATGGATGGATGGACAGACTGATAAAGCATAATAATGTATGTATGAAATTATTGGATGGATGAATGGATGGATGGGATGGATGAATGGATGGATGGAACAGGATGGATGGATGGATGGATGGATGGGATGGATGGAACGGGATGGATGGATGGAAGGGATCGAGGGACTGATAACGCATAATAATGTATTTATGAAATTATTGAATAAATGAATGAATGAATTGATTAATGAATTATTAAAAGAAGGAAGGCATGATTAAAGGAATGAAACCATATATAAATGAATGGAAAGATGTTCACACAGCAGGGTGAAAATAATGATTTTGCAATTGAGTGTATAAAACTAGTATCATAAAATACATAAGACTATAATATTACAAACAAAGATCAATAATCAAGACCAGGAACTTTATCCTTTGCAATAATATAAAATAGATACCATTTTTTAAGGTATTAGGATACGTTTATGACCACTATGCACGCAAACTTAAATAACACGCTGGCTTTATAGTATAACACAAACAAAGTATGCATTTTCTGAAAGCTGAGTAAATATAGTTTATGAAGAAATCTTCAAAATACGATTTTTTTTATTGTTGTTCACATTATTGTCCTCAAAGCGAAGTAGATTTTAAGCTATGTTTGTGAAAAATGGCTTAACATACTCACGAGATAATAAGCTCAAAAAGGGTGTCCCAGATTTTTTATATCTGTTTTCTATCTCTTGCTATTTTTGATCAAAGTTCGGCTATTACTTTTGAAGTGTTGTTTAGAGTAAAAAGCGTCATAACTTTGGAAAGAAATTAAATTTCAAAATTCGGAGACATACTTTTTTGGATCATGAGTTACTTTATAAACTATCCAAATTTATATACTTTATAAACTCTCCAAGGGACTTTAAGCTTTTTGAAGTTGAGGTTTTAGCGGCAAAAAAGATTCGAGAAAAATGCATTTCTTTGTTTGGAGCCGGAAGCTGCAGGGAGCCACGATGGTGTTGGCCAAACCACCTTGAGCCTTCCATTTTGACATCACTTGTCAAATTATCTGGTGTTCTGGACGATCGCAATGTAGGATCTTTTTACAATGACAAAGGAGCATGACAGATGTGCATATATTAAGCGATGGCACATTTCCGGTCTTGATAAAGTCACGATTTCGATTTTTCTCAAAATGTTGGCTTTTCCAATCAAAAATTGCAAGAAGTTTCACAAACATATGAAAGATAAAAGTTTAAAATGATGAAATTAAAAAGAAAAATTTTTTTTGAGCAATTCATCAATTTTCGTATCCTAATACCTTAAATACCAAAATACATGATTTTACTATTCAGCATGAAAAAATGAAGAAGTCAAAATATTTCTTACCCAATGGGCTCTCGTTTGGTGTAACACAGGTTCTTGTTAGGTTTGGCATTGTTGACTGGAATGGTCAGGCCCTACAAACAAGTAAAATGAAAATTGAAAAACAAAGTCTGATTTGATGTGGGATATAATTATGCAAATATAGACCTTTCTTCCTAAATTCACTTGAGTGACCACTTGAGTGGCTCCAAGTAGAAGATGAACTTTATATGTTCATGTGTATTTTATCAAACCCAGCTTCAACTTGGAGCAATGTTTCCATGGTTATTCAAGCACATTTGGGAAAAGGCAAAAGCCCTCTTCTGAGATATGCCTCACTTGTCACACACAAAGGTTTTGGTATGAAGCTAAGTATTAAATTTAATTAATTCCTTTATACTGCCACAAATCACTGAGCATTATACGTGAAACCATGACATATTAAAAACCTTGTGTGTGATAAGCCAAGTATATCTTAAAAGGAGGCTACTTACCTATCAAAGTCCCTGGTCAAGAATAATCTATTCTAGTGTGCCACATACCTGTATTTTGTCACACCAACCGGCAAAGTATCTGAGGGTATCGATAGACATTCCAATATGGGTCTTGAGTGCCAAAGTGTATACGGCACCAGAGTCAAGAGCTTCAATAGTGGCTAGTTCCTCTGTGTGTTCTTCCATAAGGTCTGCAAGTCTAAAATAAAGAAAGTTGGAATAGGATTGGATGGGAATAGAAGGGATGGAAAGAGAACAGGAAAAGATGAAAAGAAAAGGCAGGGCAGGGCAGGGCAGGGCAAGGCAGTTGAAACATCTATCTTAAGTAGTTGAAAATCTATCATACTTATTCATCAGTTTTCCTCTGTCTCTTGCATTCATAGTTCCCCAGGGACCTTCCTCAAAAGCAACCTGTTCCATAAAAACAGATGTTTACTATTGTGTTAGCTTTTTGAAGTTACTTTGATTTACGGGTGTGACATAAGATAAAGCAATGCAAACCACCAACATCATATTCACATAATAATAATAATCATGTATCATCATCATATGCCATGCTCATCATGCATCATCATCATGTGTCATGTTCACCTGCATCATCAT